AAATTTTTAAAAATAAATATTGGTTTATTAAGCCAAATTGAACTCTACTTGCATAAAATCAACTTTAGTTGCCAAAAACAAACTCTAGTTGCTAAGAATCAATATCTAGTTGCATATATTCTAGATGCCTATGAGATATTATATATTTTTAAAAAAACTGTTTAAATAAATATAAAAACCTGCAATTTTTGAAAATAAAATATTATTATGAAAAATGAACTCTAGTTTATTCTAAAACATAAAAATTAATTACAAAAAAATAACTACAGTAGACTATGAAAAACTACACATTCCTAAAAAGAACTATATTTTACTACAGAAGCTGAACTATAATTGTTGAAAATCAACTCTAGTTCATTTTATCAAATGAATTTAGTTGTTTTAACATTAACTGCAGTAGATTATGAAAAACTACACATTTCAGGAAAGAACTATATTTAACTGTATAAACCCGTTATTTTTGAAAATGAATCCAAATTGCCAAAAATGAACTATAGTTAACAAAAAATGAAATTTAGTAGCCAAAAAATTAAGTATTGTTTTTAGGACTACAATAATATATAAAATAACTTGAAATATATTACATAGAATTAACTCTACTGCTAAAAATTAACTATATTTTCCAAAAATTATCTACAATTGTTAAATTGTTAAATATGACTTTAAATGCGAAAAATAAGCCCTAAGTGCAAAAATCATCTACAATTAACAAAAATAAACTTTTATCGCCAAAAAATTTTAATTCCTATTTTTTTCCCCCAGTTACCATCTTATGCTGCCACTGCGAGCGGCCATGCTGTCTGGTCGCTGCGCCGCGGCCAATGTCAAGCAGCACCATCGTCGTCAACGACAAGAACAAGACTATAGTAACGACCACCACCACCAGGAGCGCCACAGTCGCACAATCTCTCATGTCTCCGTCGTCTTCTACGAACACGACGCCTGCGGCTGCGAAGACAGACCAACAGCAAAATCAGCAGCAGCAGCAGCAAGGAACAATTGCTGCTGCTGCAGGTGATACACCGGAGCAGAGAATCGCTCGGTATAAGGAGCTGCGCAGGCAGCAGCTCCGGGAGGGAGTGGCTGCAGTACTAGATAGAGAGAAAAATGCAGCTGGGTAATAATAGATACATAAGTATAAATAGACTAGCAAACCCGACGAACTCCCTTTCGCCACCAGATGGTTTCATGAGAAAGATGAAGAAATTTCTAGTTTGTTTTATATTTGAAAAGGAAAAACTTGATTTTATTACACAACAGTAATGAATTTATTCCGATTACAAAAATGAAGTGTCTTTTAGTTGAACTTCTCTAAGTAAGTGAAAGTGAATCCGCCGCAAATTATCCTTTTCATTGAAGTGCTCTTTGGTAAACCACATTTTTTGTTTTGTGGTCTGACGTTAACACAAACAAAGCGGATGGTTTTCGAACTCGTGAACAGGCAACGTATAACTGCCCATGTGAAAAACAATGATTTTCTAAATAATCTATTTAAAATTTATCCCGCAAACACTAAGCGATTGGCCTTGCGACTTGTTAATTGTCATTGCGACCTGGAAATTGCAATCGTTCGAAGTCAAACGGAAGACCAGTCAGAATCATTGGTATGTCACCAAATCGCCAGCAATTTTTGATTGAATGGTGAAATTCAGTGCGTGTACATCATTATTCTTTGCGGCAAGAATTGCTCGTTGACATAACCAAGCATAATTCTGATAATTCTCACTAATGCCATTACTCGAATTTTTAATTACGGTGCGTGAAGTTCCAGTAGCTTGCATTAGGGCACGATGCCATGCACCACTAAACCTTGCGGAGCCCGAGACCTTTCCAACGAATGCAAAATTGTCGAAATCGGTTCGTGCGTTCTGGTGTTATTTTGTCAGGAAGGAAAACCCGACTTATTTTTATATATATATATATATATATAGAAGATGGCGTGTTTAATTTTTTAGTGTATCATAGATGTCGCGACTAACCGCAGCACGTAAATTTACCTTTAGGTTTAATTCTTGGATAAGATTTATGTAAATACTAGATGACCCGACAGACGTTGTCCTGTACCCGCGTGTACAATTCAAGAGTTCCAGTTTTTTTAAATAACCTATACTGATATTTACCATTAATGTTTTTTACACTGCAGTCTATACCGAAATGTATACATATCCTTATGAGTGATCTTAAATGTACAAATGCTTTAAATAAAATGTTGAGTCTCACAACCCACACTTAACTCTTTTATTATACTGTGAAATTAGGGTTTGTCGCTTTTTAAAAACCGGTTTTAAAAACCGTTTTTTGGCGAAAATTATGGAATTCGATAACCGGATTTTTAGTGAAAAAAGTCGGTTTTCACTGTATAAATGGAAAATGACAAATATAGCCAAATATAAAAGATAGATGAAAGCGTTTTGGTTCTTGAAATCATATCGTTTCAATAGCATTTGTTATCTTATCAGTCTGCAATGGTTCCCAGAAAGGTTTTGTATATAATAATTTAAATTTTTATACCAGTGTTTATATTAATTTAAATCAGTGTGACTTCTTCTTGAAGAAGTAACTTTCTCTACTCAATCTTAAAAAAAGGGTTTTAAACCCTAGAAGTCACAAATTAAAGAACTTGAAAAAGGCTTTAAAAACAATTAGGCATAATTTGGTCGCAAGTATGAGAGTATTTTCTATTTCAGGAGTTTTTGTGAGTGAACAAAGGACATATTTAAGTAGCAATTCGATAGACATTTTAAATTTTTTAAAAATTAATTAATTAAAATTGCTTTGAACAGAAATAAAAGTTTAGCTTAATTGTTTTTAAAACTAAAATTGATATTAACATGTATCTAATATTTTTTTTTATTTAATGAATTTTTTTAATTTAAATATGTATTATTTTTATTTATTCGAAAACTTTTCTTTCACTATCATAAAAATATTTTTATTCTCATATGTGAAAATGATGCATGAATAACGAATAATTATTTTCAAAGTTATTTAATCAAGATAAACTATTAATCTTAAGTTCTACTAATTAAAATTAAAATAATTTTGTTTCCTATCTATAAAATTGAACAATAAATAAATTCAGTCAAATACTGCTTTAAATTACACTAAATTTGCGGATAAATTACAGAATATTCTGGCAAAAATTTATTTTTATATAAAATTCGAAAACCGGTTAAAACCGGTATTTTAGTAAAATTAAAATTCGAAAACCGGTTTTCTGAAATGTCGGTTTTTATATAAACCGTAATAAGTATAAATAGCTGGCATGTTTAATTTTGTCAGCATATCATAGATGTCGCCGACCAACTTTTCTTGTAATAAAGTTAAAAAAAAAATTCGACGATTTTTATGATTTTTTTTTTTGACGGTAGATACCATAGTCTTCCAGATCATACTAAAATATTACGGCCCTACGATAACTCGTTTAGCTTTAAAATTTCGTCAAAGTTTGTAAAAATTAGTATGGTCTTTTTGGCATTTGTCAAAATTGGAACTTTCATCGACGTTTGCTCAAAAACGCCTGAACCGATTTCATAAATTTGAAAGTCATTTGATGTATCTCAATGAGGACTATATTTTATCAGTTTTGTGAGGCGATCTGCCGCGCCGTTTCTTTGTAATTTGAAAAAAAGTGTTAAACTTTTCGTCCACATCAGCTCAAACTACCGAATCGATTTTAAAAAATCAAAAACTGTTCGAAAGATATTAGTTGCGAATGATACTAATTAGTTTTAGATAAACATCTACCAAGCCGTTTTCTTGTAATTAACTGTTGAAAAAAAATTTAAGCTGATTTTCATGGAACTTTTTTTGGTGATATATATCATGGTCTTATTGAACTTATTGAAATGTTACTGCCTTACGACAAGTAGTTAAATTTGAAAAATTCATCAAAATTTTGTAGAGAAAATGAGTAGTTTTGTTTACGTTTGTTAAAATTAAAATTAGACAATATGCTTCGTATAACTATAGAGTACTTGGTCCTAATGAACATATTAAACCATTAAAATCCTACGGAAACTGATTCAATTACAAAAATTGTTGATTTTTGAAAAATTGTTATTAGAAAATACTCCGAGTCAAAGTGTTCGTTTTCAATTATGTGTAATAAATCCGCTCGGAATACTTTTAATCACTCATAAATTAATTTGTTTCTTATTGATCAGGTCGATTATTTACACATATCGGAAAGTTCATGTAACTTGCCTCAAGGCTAAATACCAATAATAACTAGTTTAATTTTTTTTTTCAGAATCTCAAGTGCCATATCATCAAAACGTTCACCGCGTCCCAGGAACGATGACCCTGATCAAAGTCCTCGTGTCAGGACAACAAGAGCCTCAAGACTGCGCCAACAGGCAACAGGAGACAAGTCAACATCGACGACATCTTTGGAAAACGAAAGACTTTTCTCAAGCAAACAAGTCGATACATCAGGTCTTCCAAAATCACCAACGTACGTCGGAAGGTTCACCAAAAATAAAGCTGTCGGTGTATCCAGCAAAGACCTGGATGGTAAAAAAATTACCAGGGCACCCCAAGATGATGCCCCATCAAAATCTGGTTACTCCAATCCGAAATCGCCTATTGAGAAACTAGTTAGCAGAACCAAATTGTTCACCAAAGATAAATTCAACTTTGATTTGTCTTCGCCCAAAAGCACTGCCTCGGAGGCTTCGGAAAAATCCAGCGAGCGCTTGGGTAAACCTAAGCCAAAACAAGGCATGTCTCCCAAACGATTTGGAGACGATGGTAATATATCACCCAAACGTTTCGGCTACAAATTAACGCCATCCCATGATGAGAATAAGCCAGATTTACTTACCAACACTGCCGGTACTTCAGGGACCAACAATGCTCAAACCAGTGACAAAAACTTTAGCTCAAATTATCAAATTGTAGATAGCAATGTAGTTAAAAGTGATTTAGTGCAAGATGGTGCTTCCAAAACCACTAATTCATCTGAAGACAACGTGTTTGGCAGATCTAGACGCCCGGGGGTAAGTGTTTTTATTTATATTTTATTTTTATTTATATTTTCTTTTATGCAACGGAAATTGTTACGGCAAGGTCAAGTGAAAGTCATTTGCTCTCGATGATATCGTTTCTATACGGGTCGATTGTGATTAGGCGTCGTGTATGTGAATAGAGATCTGTCGTTGTACGCGTACCGATATCAACTAAAAAATCGGCGTAGATAAATAAACATTTTAAGGTTACATCGTAGTACAAATCTTGATTTAATGAAAAATGCATGAATCAGAAGAATATTTTTTAGGCGCTACTAGGGTGTAAATCCGTACAAATGCAACGAAAATTGTTACGGCAAGATCAAATGAGAGTCATTCGCTCTCGATGATATCGTTTCTGTACGGGTCGATTGTGATCATTCGTCGTGTATGTGAATAGAATTCTGTCGTTGTACGCGTACCGATATCAACAAGAAAATCGACTTAGATAAATAAACATTTTAAAGTTGCATCCTAGTACAAATCTTAATTCAATGAAAAATGCATGAATCAGAAGAATATTTTTTAGGCGCTACTAGGGTGTAAATCCGTACAAATGCAACGGAAATTGTTACGGCAAGGTCAAGTGAAAGTCATTCGCTCTCGATGATATCATTTCTATACGGGTCGATTGTGATTAGTCGTCGTGTATGTGAATAGAGATCTGTCGTTGTACGCGTACCGATATCAACTAAAAAATCGGCGTAGATAAATAAACATTTTAAGGTTACATCGTAGTACAAATCTTGATTTAATGAAAAATGCATGAATCAGAAGAATATTTTTTAGGCGCTACTAGGGTGTAAATCCGTACAAATGCAACGAAAATTGTTACGGCAAGATCAAATGAGAGTCATTCGCTCTCGATGATATCGTTTCTGTACGGGTCGATTGTGATCATTCGTCGTGTATGTGAATAGAATTCTGTCGTTGTACGCGTACCGATATCAACAAGAAAATCGACTTAGATAAATAAACATTTTAAAGTTGCATCCTAGTACAAATCTTAATTCAATGAAAAATGCATGAATCAGAAGAATATTTTTTAGGCGCTACTAGGGTGTAAATCCGTACAAATGCAACGGAAATTGTTACGGCAAGGTCAAGTGAAAGTCATTCGCTCTCGATGATATCATTTCTATACGGGTCGATTGTGATTAGTCGTCGTGTATGTGAATAGAGATCTGTCGTTGTACGCGTACCGATATCAACTAAAAAATCGGCGTAGATAAATAAACATTTTAAGGTTACATCGTAGTACAAATCTTGATTCAATAAAAAATGCCTGAATCAGAAGAATGTTTTATCCTGTCCCTTGAAAATAATAAAACAAACTAGTGGTGTATGGCATCGTGCCTTAAGGAAAATTGCTGGAACTTCCCGTACTGTAATGAAATGTTCGAGAAATTTTAAACGTTTTCAAATATATTATTACAAATACTGTAACTTTCATTATTTTTACTATCTTGTCATATCCTAGCAAATCAAATGTAAATTATAAATTAATTTATCTCCAGAACATTAACAATCGTCAAAATAAATTTAAAAAAAATAGTTGCCTAATTTACACAAATTTGGTAAAGTGTATAGACACAGTCTAAACGCACTTGCAAATAATTCTGTGCGACATTTTTACTTATACTGTGCAAGCTTTGCATTCGGAAGTTTACATTTGGAACTCAAATTTTGTACCATAAATTTAGAATTTTGGATACGGAATTTTTTGTTTCTGATATTACGTTCAAAATTTCTATATTTGGAACTTTTTATTTTGAATTTTATATTTGCATTTGGAATTTTACATTTCTAATATTCCATCCAGAGTATAATCAGAGTCTAATATTGCATTTGAATTTTACAATTAGAACTTTGCATTTGGAACTTCAGATTTGGAACCTTAAATTTTGAACTTTGTATTTAAAATTTTATATTTCTGGAGTTTACATTTGCATCCTTACATGTGCGACTTTAAATTTAAAACTTCACATTTAAAATTTTATATTGTTAGTAATTCGAAATTGAAACTTCACGTTTGGAATTTTATATTTTTAATATTATATTTGGAACTTTGCATTTGGAACTTTACATTTATAACTTTACACTTGGAACATTGCATTTGGAACTAACTAATATTACATACTCAATGTTACATTTGGAACTTTGCATTTCTAATATTGCATAAAAAAATTACATTTTGAACTTTAAATTTAGGAACTTTGCATTTTGAACATTGCATTTGAAATTTTGTACTTGGAATTCTCTATTTTTAAAATTGCATCTTGAATTTTAAATTTGCAACAGTACATTTAAAACTTCACATTTAGAACTTTGAGTTTGAAACTTACAATTTTGCATTTGGATTATATTTGAATTTTTATTTACATCTAGGATTTTGCAAATTTATGTATTTTTGCATTTAAAATTATGGATTTCGGACTTTACATTTGCATCTTTGCATTTGTAACTTTGCATTTGTAACTTTGCATTTTTAATAAGAATTTTGCGTTAAAACTTTATATATTACTAGCTAACCCGGCAAACCTTGTTTTGCTGAATAAGGTATATTCTATACAATTTCTAGAGAATCAAAAATATTAATATAAAATAAAAATAATATCTCACCTTTCCGATCATCTCTGGATTGGCACGAATTTTTCCAGACTAAGACTGGCCAAATCGGTTTAGCAGTTTTCGAGTTTTACCGAATCATTTGATCGAGAACTCCATTTTTATATATAAGATATATTTGAAACCTCACATTTGGAAATTTATATTTGAAACTTTATTTTTGAAATATTTGATTTGGAACTATTCATTTAGAACTTGGCATTTTGAATTTTACATTTGTAACATTCCATTTCTAACATTACACTCAAACTTTTTCATTTGGAACTTATCATATCTAATATTACATTTCTAATTTTGCATAAAAAATTCAAAACTTTATATTTGGAAATTTGCATTTTTAATATTTCATTTTGAATTTGCACTTGAAATTTTAGATTTACTAACGAAACTTCACTATTTGGAATATTACATTTTTAGTAATATATTAAAAATATTACATTTAGAACTTTTTACTTCTAATATCACATTGCTAATTTTGCATAAAAAAGTTACATTTGGAATTTGCTTTGAAGGATAAAAAATTATTACATCTATTTTTACTTTCCATAAAATATTTTTGTAATTTTGGATTAAAAATTTAAAAAATCGGCCATGCTAAGCACAGTCTAAGTGAAAATGTCGAACAGAATTGTTCACAAATGCGTTTAGACTGTGACTATGCGGGAGCACTTTTTCAATTTTGTTTGAATTAGGCAACTATTTCTTTTTTTTGTAATTGAATTCGAAATGAAATGACGATTGTTAATGTTCCCTGAGATAAATTCTGGAGATTTATGATTTACATTTGATTTGCTCTGATATAACAAACAAGATAGCAAATATAATGAAAGTTACAGTATCTGTAACAATATATTTGAAAACGTTTAAAATTTCTCGAAAATTTTATTACGGTACGGGAAGTTCCAGCAAATTACCTCAAGGCAAGATATCATACACCACTAGTTTTATTTTTTTGTATCACCCTTTATAATTTTTTTTCTTCCGCCACCACTGTGTTTAGTATCGCGAAATTGCAATAAATTAGAATACAAATTTATTCATCGCCAGTATCATGTATCAGTCAGCGAAATCTTCACGCTTGATACCACATACCACATATTTATAATTATCCGCATTTTTTTTACGAAACAAGGAAACGTATTGGTATCAATAGAAAGGAACTAGTGGTGTATTGTGATTTATAAGCTTGGAATTCATATTGACATGTGGTTACGTAATTGGTAACTGTTTACCTGTCTACCACTTTTTTTTATTTGTATTGGTCATTTTTGATCACCAAGAATTTTTTTAAGTTGTATTGAATTAATTGTTAGATTTCCAATGTAAAATTCAAATTTCAAATTTCAAATCTTTCAAATTTTGAAAGGTGCAGTTCCAAATGTATAATTTTAAATTTAAAATTCTAAACATTCAGTAATGTTTGAAATGTATAATTACAAGTATAAAGATTAAATGTTGAATTCCAAATGTAAAGTTGTTAAGTATAAAATTCCAATTTTGAATATCTAATATAAAGTTTTGCAGTTTTACATTTCGAATTATAAAATTCTTTGGAAATAATTTTTTACATTTTATTCATTTTTATTTGGAACCTTACCTTTGGTACTTTGCATTTGAAACTTCACATTTAGAACTTCGAAATTGGAACTTCACATTTGGAATTTTATATTTCTAATATTACGTAATGAATTTCACTTCTGGAACCTTGCCTTTGGAACTTTGCAATTCTAATATTGAATACAAAATTTAGATTTTGGACTTTAAATTTTGGAACTTGTCTTTTGGAACTTTGCATTTAGAATTTTACATTTCTAATATTGTATTAAGAATTTTGCATTTGGAAATTGACATTCATAATTTTACATTTGGAACTTTAGATTTGGAACTAGACATTTGGAACTTGACATTTGGAACTGTGTATTTAGAACTTGACAGTAGGAGCTTTACATTTACTACTTTGTTGTTGGAACATTGCATTTGGAACTTCACATTTGCACCTTTGCTTTAGGAACTTTGCATTTGGAAATATATTTAGAACTTTATATTTGGAACTTCATATATGGAACTTCATATATGGAACTTCATATATGGAACTTTGCATGTAGAACTTTAAATTTTTAACTGGACATTTGTAACTTTGCATTTCTAATATTACATCCAGAATTTTGCATTAAAACTTTATATTTAAAACTTCACATTTAGACCTTCATATTTAGACCTTTATATTTGTAACTTTCTGTTTGGAACTTTCAATTTGGAACTTCATATTTGAAACTTAACATTTTGAACTTTAAATTTGGAACTTTCATTTTGTAATTTTGCATCTGGAACTGTTCATATCTAACTTCGCATTTTGAATTTTA